TTTATCTTTCTCTGACTTATTTCACTCAGCATAATAACCTCTTGGTCCATCTATGTCATTGCAAATGGTAGGATTTAATTTTTTTTAAGAGCTGAGTAATATTCCATTGTATATATGAACCGTAACTTCTTTATTTAATCTTCTGTTGATGGGCATTTAGGTTGCTTTCATATCTTGGCTACTGTAAATTGTGCTGCCATGAACATAGGGGTGCACAGATCTTTATGAATCATTGTTTTGGTTTTCTTTGGCTAAATACCCAGAAGAGCAATTGCTGGGTCAAAGGTATATACATTTTAAAATTTTTGAGAAACCTCCATAGTATCTGTACCAATTTGTCAACAGTGTATGAGGGTTCCCTTTTCTCCACATCCTCACCAACACTTGTTCTTTGATTTATTGATGATAGCCATTCTGACAGGTGTGAGGTGATATCTCATCATGTTTTTCATTTGCATTTCTCTGATAATTAGTGACCTTGAACATCTTTTCTTATGTCTGTTGGCCATCTGTATTTCCTCTTTGAATAGATATCTATTCAGGTCTTCTGCTCATTTCTTAATTGGATTATTTGTTTTGTTTGTTGAGTTGTATGAGTTCTTTATATGTTTTGGATATTAACCTCTTATCAGATGTATCATAGTGAATATCTTCTCCTAATTAGTTGGTTGTCCTTTTGTTTTGTTGATGGTTTCCTTTGCTGTGCAAAAACTTTTTAGTTTGATGTAATTCCATTTGTTTTATTTTTTTTGTTTCCCTTGCCCAAAGGCAATTCTTTTTTAAATAGGAATGCACTTTTTGTTCTATTCTGCTCCCTTCTTTCCATGTGTTCTTCACACAGATTGAGAAGATATGAAATTCAGAGACTTTGTTAATTAACATAAGGCATAATTTAAGCTATAATCAGTGGTCAACATTAATAAGACATAGGTTTGTCAGACACTCTACTTTGAAGAATATAAGACCTAATTTTATCCACTCAGAGAGCCACCCTTCTATAATCAGCTGGCAACCTGCTTGGTAGAGTAGTTGGTTATATGAGGCGGGGTGTCAAAAAGGAAAAACCGAGGGGGAACCTGAAGGAACATGATCTCAACACGATCTGAAGTTAATTCTGTGTCCAACAATCACTGATTTGATGTAAAAAGTTTTCCCAGTGTATTCATGATCCTCTACTAGTAAGACTGTTTTCTTTATGGTAATGGACAAGACTGATTGCCTTTCAGATGTTGCAAGGTGAAACGATTTTTTTTTTTTTTTAAGATAAAGTGGATACTACCAGTTGGTAGAAAAATCTAGTCCCTTGATAATGTTTGTAGCAATCAGACATCAATTTTACAGAATAGAAATCAAAAGTTGCATATTGGTCTATTTGATGGATCACGGCCAAATCTTCCAACAGGTTTAGTTGGTATTCACATTCTAAGATTTTTAGCTATTGGGCATTCTGGTATTTATAAGAGCTGGTAATTTTTTCACTGACAAAATCCAAATAGGATAAATAAAAATAGCTCATTAAAACTCAACTCTCTACTGAATGCCTGTAATAAAAATAACAAAAGAACATGTGTATCAGTAGTGTCAAAAGCTGCAGAGATCTAAGGAAACATTATTATTTACAGCTTTATTACACACTATTTATCATTACAACACTAAGAAAAAATATTTTGACACTTTAAAGTTTCAAAAAATTAAACATTTACAATCTCAACCTACTTTTACTGAGAATGTTTACAACACTGGGATTCTCAAACATATTAAACTTAGCAAGGATTGTTTTTTGAGAAGAAAACAATTTCAGTATATTTTATATTCCATGACATTGCTTCTGTGGAAATAGTTGGTATTCTGTAAAAAGAAAAAAATTGAATTTAGATTCAAGTATAAATGAGTAATGTGAATGTGTAGATAATGTTGGCATATAGACGTTTCCATAAGTATTTTGTCATGGATTAATGAAACTGACATCAGAGATATTTCTCAGCTTTTCTTCAGTCTATATATTTTTAGCTATCATTTAATCTCTCTTTGATGGAAAATTTCCTGTATTTTTGAAAATTTTACAGTATTTAACTGTATAAAAGTGGTTTGCTAAAGTTCATTGATGCCAATAAATTTTATGAATATTTCAAAAGTTGCAGTTATTTCCCATGTATTTCTTTCCTTATGTATTTGCAATTAAATCATCCTATTATATGTCTAACCACTCTTTAAGTAGATATAAGTTATCAGGACAAAGTAAGACCTCAGATAATCAGATGACAAAAACAAATTAAAAATGATTATTGAACTGCTTCTCTGTTGACAAAATAAAATGAAATTCTGAGTGAATTAGTCTATGTAGACTATAATCTTGGAAACAGTAAATAGCTTAGAACTTTAGTTTCCTTTTTTATACTACTTTTATGTGATTTTGGTATTAGCTTCGTAAAATATATGGCTGAGTTCATGAAAATGTTTTGAGATTTTTCTTTCTTCTCCGAGCTGGAAAAAAGTAAAATCTATTGGCCTAGGACTTTTTGAGGGGAAAGTTTCTAAATAATGTTTTCAGTTTTTTCCCATGGCCATTATTCTGTTTAGACTTTTTCCTTTTTTCTGAGGTAAATTTTGGTAGCATATACTTTATTTGGTAATCCGCATTTTATGCAGGTTTTCAAACTACAGGCACAGAGATTTACAAATTACTCTTTTATAATTTCATTTCATCAATGTCTCTTTTAATTTCCTTTTCATTTGTATTTTTATATATTTATGGTTTCTCTCTTTTTTCTGGATTAGGCTAGGCTAATTTGACTATTTAATTTTTTTGCAAAGAGTCAGGTTTTTGCTTTGTTTACCAATTCTTCTACTTTACTATTTTATAACTCATTAATTTCATCTTTCATTTTATACTTTTCTTCCTTTTGCTTTTCTGAGGTTCACCTTGTTCTTTTGTAACTTACGAGTCAAATCTTTAATTCACTCATTCTTTTCTTGCTTAAAAATGCTTAAAACCTTGAATTTTCCACTGAATATGGCTTTGGCAGAGTCTCATAAGTTTTACTATTCAGTGTCAGCATTTTTTTCATTTTTTAGTTATTATATAATTTTGGTTAGAAATAGTGCATTTTGATTTTTTGTTCCTAAGTAAAAATATTAAGAATTTTAACATTCTTAAACTAAATATGTATTAAGGGTTGAGATAAATTATATATATATAATATTTGCAAAAATATGTTCAGCATAGAATCTGCATTTAGGATAATAGAAAGATAGTAAAATGTACTTTTATTTTTGTGGTGTAAATTTATCAATCTGCATTTGGGTTTAATTTTAAAATTCATAGCCTAATAAGATATTAGAGTTAACATATTTATTAAACATGTAGGGCCATTTAATAGTTATTAAGTGTCCACCATATTTCCAGCATTGAGGTTGAAATTCTGGGAATCCCAAAGAAGTCATGCTCTCATATCTTCCCACATTTTCTTAGTTCTCTAGAAATGGTAAATCAGAGCTCTTATAAGGAGTCTTTGAATATAGGTCATTTGGAAGACAGAAACACAGTCAGTTTGTAAGTTCTGAGTCATCATTGTGGACACTGATTACCATGATAACAGCAATTTCTTGCATAAACTACATGCACAACAAATGATGATAAAGGTCAATGTCTACAAAATCTATGATAATAACTATTGCATCATAGTCTGAGGAACGCACAACATAAATAAACAAATTTAGTAAAACACTGGCATTTTTCACCTTAAAGCCCTCATAGTCACTATAATTGTAGTGTTTATACAGAATAGTAATATGCACATGCAATCTAATAATAGAAATATATTGAGCATAGTTTAATGTGTGAATATCTATAAAAAAAACAATTTTAAACTCAATTGAATTGTGAAATACATACCATTTTAAATGTAACCTTCTGACCTTCTTCCATTGCGTGGCTAGAAAATAACAAATTAGTAATAAATCAGTGTAACTAAGGAGGGAAGTTAATTTTCATAGAAAGCAGCCTAATGAGCTCAATGAGTGGTATTTCTTCCTCTCTGCAGTCTTGCTCCTTTCAATCCATTCTTCAATTTACTGTTAGAATTTGTTTCCAAAATGCAAATCTTAACCATATGGCTCTCCTTAGCCTCTACAATAAAGTCGAAATTCCTTAGGTAAATATTTCATTGGCTAATTCCTGTTGATTCTTCTAATTCGGCGCTTAAAACCTCTCTGTACCTCCTCCACTCCCCAGCCTGGGTTAAGTGTCTTTATTTTAGAAACTATATCCCCTGGATTGAAGGTGCATTTAACATAGTATTTTGTATTTATTTATCAATTTCCTGTGTTAGTCTGTAAACTCTTAAAGCATAAGAATGGAACTCTATCTGGCCTTATATTCCCAGCCTTCGGTACATTATCCAGCACCCAGTAGAAATTCAATAAATAGTTGTGCTGAATGAATGAATGAAAAATCTCTGGTAATGTATTAGGGATACAAATATTTTAGAAAGTATAGCTACTTATAAAGAAACACATTTCATAGACAATATGGACATAAAAATACTAAATACAATTACAAAGTTTTATCTACTTATAGCCTCTATTGTAGTTAATTCTTTCATTTTAAAAACTTTTGAAAATGGTCATAAATTTTCCCATCTACTGAATCTAACATTTAGTAAATGATTCTTTAGAACTTAAGTAGTTATACATCTTTAAGATACTCACTTCCTGCACATGAAATGTTACGGAACTAAGCTGAAATAGATGAAGACATTTGGGGTATTTACAAATAGTAATAGTGGATTAGAGAAGAGATCAGAGATGCAATAATATTGAGGAAATAAGGTGGTGACAGAAGTGACTCTCAGACTATAAAACCTGATGTCAAATATCTATTAATAAATTTCAAAACTTAACTAAAACTTATGAGTTAATGTAAATAAATGCACAATGAAATTATTTTTCAATTTGGGTATTGATTGATTTTTTTCAAAAACAATACAGTATATGCATACCCTGAATAAAAAGTATCTTCGACTTTGGCTTGTAATAGGACCTTGGAATTCTTCCTAGAAGAGAAAATGAGGGCATTACAAATCAAATAACAGTAAAAATATGCACAAATTCTTGAGAGTATAGTGAAGTTCAAGGTTAATTTAAAATATAATTAAACAAAGAAGAAATCAATGACTCGAGTATATAATTTATATTAATAGTTAATCTTTATACCTGAAAAATTTTCAACAACTAGCAGTATCATCAAATGTTATATTTTAAAATAATTTCCTTATCAGTGTAACAGATTTTATTTTCAGGAAGTTCATCAGTTGTATGTATATTCATCAATAAGTAGAAAGAGTAATGACAGACACTTCATAATTAACTACATTTAAAATCTTTCAGAATATAGTGAAGTAGTATTGTAATAAGTATGTATGATGTCAGGTGGGTAATAGATTTATTGGAGTAATCACTTCTTAAGTTATATATATGTCTAATCACTGTGCTGTATACGTGAATCTAATATTGTATGCCAACTGTAATTGAAAAAAATAGAATAAATAAAATAAAATCTTTCAGCATTTTGTTAAAACAAAATAATTTCTTTAAAAAATATATTGTATGTGCTAACACAAGAACAGGGAAAAACATAAAATAGAATTGTGTCAGAGCTAAAATACACAACATTTCTATAGGAATTTAAATAGTAATTGAGGTATAACTTTAGCAAACTATATTTATTTAATGAAACTTCAGAAGATTTTTCCCAATATAATTATATTTACAGGAATGATAATAAAAAAATACAAAGTAGGAACAAACCAATTATAGATAATGGGTGTGTTTTGAAGTGTTGCTTTTCTTAAAACATTTCATTTTAAACTTAATGGAAAAAATATTTAAATTTTATGGTTTTCATAAAATTGGTTCTTATAGCTTTTTATTTTCAACAACTACTTATTACAAAAGTATCAGGATGGCAATCACTATAAAATTTGTCAACAAGACCTTTTTCAATTATTCCATAATATAAGTAAAATTATATTATTAAATTCTAAGAGTGGCTCTTAAATTCTAAGAGTGGCTTTAAAATTCTGAAATCCTTGTTTTACAACAAATATATTCTCAATATTTTATACCTAATTTTCATCCTGACTATAAATCTGCCCAAGTTACTTAAAAGAGTGAAAATTTTAATATTGAAAAATGTATACATAGAAACTATACATTTATATACTTAAGTAAGAAAAATAAGAAACATAGGACAAAAGTAACTTAAAATGTGCCAAACTGTAAAACTTTTAAATACAAACATACAGGTCATTTTAATCTTATCATCGGAGAGAGAATAATATATAAAAGAATTTGAGAGGTAAGAATAAAAAAGATGTGGGGTTAGCAGTAAGGAAGTCTAGTAAACAAAAATTAAGAAAAGTGTTAGAATGCACTATGATCTGAAAACTTGTTTTCTTTAAGAACGCAAAATATTTCACTATTGAAATGTTTTTAAATGAGACGACTTGGGCCCAGCAAAGCTAACACTACTGTATTTTTTTTCTACTCATCTTACATTTTTTCTTTTATAGGTTCCTAGGAAATTTTTCTTGCTACAAAATACTTTAAGGAGTTATCATTTGTCCAACAGGATATACTACAAAGTAAAAGTTCACATTTCTAGCTAATTGTCTGGAAATATAGTCTCACTGATGGTAGAATATTCAGACAAAGTAAAAAGCTGGCCACATACTGAGTATTTAGCTTTGGTTATATAAATAATGACCCTGAAGTGATATAGTAAGCTAATAATTTGTCGATATATTTTAAGGAACTGAATCTTTAAATTGAAATCTTACACTATTCTTTAATCAAACAAACTCTTCAGAAAGTAAAAGTTAATTCAAAAAGTATATATTACTTCTGGAAAGTCTGATGACACTGATTTGATTTTTTTTTTTCATATGGGAAATTCTATAATTTTAAGGCACTACTACAGTTCCTCTTACATTTCTCATTTAGATTGGCAGCAGATACTATCTCCCTAGATGGAAGCTTAGTTTAAGAATGTGAAGAATTTAGGGAGGAAATAGTGACCATAAAAAATAAATTTTGAAGAACTTATTTGCCTAGATTGTAAGCATTTTTTATTTGAAGTATTTGAAGACTTTTGGTAGTACATTAAGAAGAATGAAATTAATACAGTATTTAAATTAATGAAAAATCTAACAATAATAGAAGTATCCAAGATTAGGCTATAAAAGGAATGGCACAGTGAAAAAAATATTTCCCTAGGCTAGAAATCAGAAGACACTGTTGTAATTTCTAATCTCACTTACTAGAATGATCTTGGGAAACACCTTTAATTGTTCTAAATTGTTTTCCCTTTAATATTGATAGGATAACAATATTTGTATAAGTACCAACAGAGTTGCCAAAAGAATAAAATGAGATAATATAAGACTGAAAGTTATAATGTATTACAATAATGTAAGTCATTGCTTAAAAATAATAGCTTGAACCTTTCATCATTGAAAAAAGGTTCTTTTTAAATTACAATAAAAACTCCACAACTTTGAGCTTTAAAATGTGGTAACATAGCTATACTCATCTTAAACATATTGGGCCATATTTTTGTTAATTATGGGGAAAAAAACAAAATACCTACATTGAGTTTCTGATATATTTACTTCATTTTTACTAACACTTTAATACTTGAATAGAAAGCTTGCTATCCCAGCCATCTGCCAACCTGTATAGAAAGGGGAAGTAATTTATCTTTGATCTTTTCTCCTATTCCCACCTAATGACTAGGCACACTGCCATGTCCCTTCTTAAACCAAGAATAGGTTTCCTCACTGGGAGGGTCATGGTCCTTGGAAGGGAATCAAATCCCAGTTTCCCTCACTGCCCACAGCTTGAGATAAAAGGGACATACGATGGAGAAGGGAAATAATTCTTTTCTTTCTGAGTGTAAAAACTTCTGTAAACACATGCTCTCAGACAAACTGGGTGTTCATGTGGGGTTTATCCTGAAGAAGGGTAGCTTATAAAACATAACTGAGAATTAATAGAACTGCCCTACACAGAGGGTCAAAGCAAGCATGCAGTTCATGTTACGTACGTCCACTTTGAATCTCTTCATTCTTCTTTCATACAGTTGAGGAACGAGCTGCAGCAACGGATGCACAACAGACGACTGAGGGACACGAACACACACACATGATGAGCACAAAGGCTTCTCAGCATTGAGCATAAAGACGGTGTCCTATTCGTTTTTATTTTTACACACTATACTTGCTCCAGACAAAAAAGAACAAGATATTATCTAAGAAAGCCCCTTGTGAACATTTCAAAGAGCTGTGGCAAATAAGCCAAGGGATGGAATGAAATTTGATAGCTCTGTGCTAGAATCTTTGCTATTAGTTTCATAAGAGCCTAAGTCGTTATTCGGCTGCCAAGAAGTAAAACACCAGCCTGCATCATTGACAGGCAAAACGCAGTCTGTCTGCTTCCAGACTTACTCAAAATGATTTGGGATAGATGAAAACAACTCTGTGAGAATCACTTTTCCATTATGAAAATGTTTATCTAGAAGATTATATTGTACACACATCTCGTAACATTTATAAATTATACATTTTATTTAAAATTGAACATATGGAACAAGACAACAGGGAACACAAAAAATGACAATGTGTTGTTGATAGCGAAAAATGAGACTAAGAAACATTTTCTCAAAATGTATACCAAGCAGAAGAAAATGAAAGCACATTTGAGACATGTGGCTACCTGCTTCAGTTTCATTTTAAAGGCATGACTTGAACTGAATCTTCTCACAAATATTAAAATCACTTATCAAATGGATTATTTTAAGCCATATACAATGGTTATTTGTTAACCAATTTGACTTGTATTTGATTTTTAAAGCCAGTATCACCTAACTTTCAAGTCCTCATATGTAAGAGTATTCAATGTGATAAACATTTAAATCTCAGTTTAAGATTACAGTTCTCTTTCTACAGGCATGTACATGTTTAAAATACACTATACTCCTCATTCCTTAAATTGGTCCATGAGTCACAAGTTTAGAAAGAATATTATAGCCAAATTATTATTAAGTATTCTTGATTGAAATACCAAAGCAGCTTGCTTAAAAATTTTTAAATCCACACATACAAAAAGAAAAACTATTATTAAAACCACATAATTTAGAAGTGAACTGAATTCGAGTTATTGGTATCTGGCTAATCTTAGTAAATTCTCACATTAAATGCCTAATTATTAATAAGGATATCTTAGGAATAGAAGTGGATATTTCTACTTATGTTTAATTACATTTTTCACAATCATCTTTTAAAATAATTCTTAAAATGCCTCTGGATAAATCTGTTTTTCCCTTGCACTAATCACCATCTAAAACAATATGTTTTACTTATTTGCTTTTTTTTTTTTTTGCTTCTAGAATGTAAGTTACATGACAGCAGGGATTTCATTTTTAGTTTTCTATTCTATTTCTGCTATATTTCTAGTACCTAGAATTGTACCTGGCACAGAGTAGATACTCAATAAATAATTGTTGAATGAATGAATTTAATATATATGTGGTTATTGAGATATAAAATAAATTAAATGTATAATAAATATTAAATTCTACTTGCTCATGCATATATAAACTTTTAAAGTAAAAACATGAATTTTCATCTAGCTCTATGATAAACTGCAAACACAAGTTTTTAAAAAAAACAAATATTAGTGATTATTAATAAGAAGTAATTCTAGAACTTACCACATTCGAATTACCCAACTTCCGTGTCTTCGAATAATGAAATAAGAACTGTCAAAAAAAAAAGTAGTGAGCTTTAGTATAGACAATTAGTAGTATTCTTTATTTATTTTTTAAAATTTATTTATTTTGATTAGTTTCAAGTAAAATGATACCCCCAATTGCTCCCTCCCTCCTCTGACCCTCCACCTAGCCAACGTATTAATGCTAACTGCATTCCCTCTGCCATGCTCCCCATTTCCGTGACCATCCCTCAACTACTATTTTGTACTTCTTTAACCCTTCACCCCATTCTCCCAGCCCCCCAAACTCCCCTCCCCTCTGTCCATCATCAAATTGTTCACTATATTTGTGAGTCTGTTTTTGATTAGTTTGTTCTTTTTATTCCTTAGGTTCCGCATACTAGTGAAATCACATAGTGTGTTTATCTTTCTCTGTCTGACTTAAGTACCTTCTAGGTCTATCAAAGCAATATCTTTTGCCATCCCCTTCCTTTTAGTCTATGAGTGTCTTTTAATCTGAACTGAGTCTCTTGTAGGCAGCATAAGTAGGGGTCTTGTTTTCTTATCCATTCAGCCACTCTATCTTTTAGTTGGCGCACTTAGTTCTTTTCCATTTGAGGTACTTGTTGATAGAAATGTAGTTATTATAATTCTTTATCCCAAACTCCCCTCTGTCCATCATCAAATTGTTCACTATATTTGTGAGTCTGTTTTTGATTGGTTTGTTCTTTTTATTCCTTAGATTCCACATATAAGTGAAGTGATATGGTATTTATCTTTCTCTGTCTGACTTAAATACCTCCTAGGTCCATCAAAACAATATCTTTTTCCATCCCCTTCCTTTTCATATGTAGGGGTTTTGTTTCTTTGTCTTTTCAGCCACTCTATCTTTTGGCTGGAGCACTTAATTCTTTTCCATTTAAGGTACTTATTGATAGGAATATAGTTGTTACCATTTTTTATTCCTTTTTTCGATACATGTCTTTTTCTTCTTAAAGCAGTCCTTTCAACATTTCCTATAATATTGGCTTGATGGCGATAAATTCCTTTAACTTATTTATGTCTGGGAAGCTCTTTATCTGTCCTTCAACTCTAAATGATAGCTTTGCTGGATAAAGTATTCTTGGTTGTAGATCCTGGGTCTTCATCACGTCGAATATTTTGTGTCAAGCCCTTCTATCCTGCATAGTTTCTTTTGAGAAATCAGCTGCCAGTCTTATGGATATTCCCTTATAAATAACTATTGTTTTTCTCTTGCTGCTTTTAAGATTCTGTCTTTGTATTTAACCTTTGGCATTTTCATTATGACGTGTCTTTATGTGGGCCTCTTTGGGTTCCTGGTTTTTAGGATTCTCTGAGCTTCTTGGGGTTTTATGTCCATTTCCTTCATCAAGTTAGGGAAGCTTTCCATTATTGTTTCTTCAAACGGCTGTTCAACATCTTGATTTTCTTCAGGTACACCCATCAGACAGATATTTGGACCCTTGCTAGTGTCCCATATGCTTCTTAAATTATTTTTATAGTCTTGGCATCTTTTTTCTTGCCATTCTGATTGAGTGTCTTTGGCTTTCTCGTCCTCTATATAGGGTATTTGATCCTTTTCTTTATTCGCTCTGTTTATTCCATTTAATATACTTTTCATCTCGAGATAATATGTGCTTCATTTCACATTAGTTCCCTTTTAAAATTTCCATTTCTATTTTTATGTTTTTATCTCTTTGCTGAAGTTCTCACTGAATTATCTACACTTCCCACAAGTTCATTGAGCATCTTTATAACCAGTGTTTTGAACTCTGCATCTGTTAGATTACTTGACTCCATTATATCTGGATCTCTGTTCTCTTCTCTTATATGGTTTCTGCTTCTTTGTCTTCCCATTTTGGCTGCCTTTCCGTGTCTTTCCGTGTCTGCTCCTAAGTCTTTCGGTCTTATTAGTGCAGATTTGTGATGTAGGTGGCCAGTGGCACACGACTTGAGAGGGGTTCAGCTGCAGGCCAAATTTACCCCAAGCCTCTGCCCCTCTGGGGGCCACTTGTTAAGATTCAGCAAGCAATCCACAGATGTTGTGCTTATAGTTGCCTCAAAAGGCCACACCAGAAACTGAGGCCAGCTGCCTCCAGTGTGAGTCTAGGCGCTGCTCAGCAAGGAGCACCTGACTCGCTGAGGATATACCTGGATGTGGCTTGGGTGTGGCCGCGAGTTGGAGGAGGCCGGGTTTCAGGGAATCCTCTGGGCAGAGAGACCTCTGTTATCTAGTTTGATGAGGTCTTGGCTATGGCAGCACTGTGTTTGTGCACTGGTATGGGGGAGGGCCCAACAGAGAACAATGGATACTGCCAGCAGTTCTGTACAGAGCGAGTCTCCCCTGGGACTTCCCTCCAACAATATCTCCCTGTAAATCCCTGGTGCGCTCTGCGCGCATCCATATCTGCGCCGGTGCTCAGAGTGAGCAGGTCCGTCACCATGAAAATCCGCTCACGGACGCAGCCCCTTTAAGAGGCGTCTGCCGCTGCTGCTACCACAGCCTCTATCTCAGTTGCTCCGGACTGGGCAACCCCATATCCTCGCCCCGTCCTACCTTCTGCCGTGTTTTCTTGGATTTCTCCCTGGTTTTATGGCTTGTTCATCTAGATCCCAGGCAATGTTTCCTTGCTTCTTGCTCTTTGTTTTCTTCACAACTTTGATTTGGTCGCCAGAGGGATGAACAGAGCCTCTATCAATTACACCATTTTTTTTTGCCTCCTCACAATGGTTTTCAGTTTCAGTTCAAGGTTCTCCAACATGTACTTTTTCTGTGGTAGTTTTTATGTGCAGATCCCACACTCAGACATGCTGATGTGCAGGTTGGGTGTTTTGTGTTGAGTTTTAGATGTTCAGCTTATTGTTGTTTCAAGGGGAGAGATCTAGGGACATCTCTCACTCTGCCATGTTTCTGACATCACTCTTGTTTTTTATTTGCCTAAAGCCTGGTTTAGAAATTCATTTAAATATTCTTATCCATGTAAGTCTCCTGAAGCTTTTGTTCCAAGTAAGCCAACCTGGCTGTGTCTCTCTGTATAAACCTGTCTTTCCAGATTTCAGGATAGTAGTTTGCCTTGAAACTCAGTTCTTTATAAGACTTGTTTGGATAGCTGCAAGATGAGATCTTTTCATCCACCTGCCAGAATCTTAAAAGTGTATACAGAAGACTGAACTGGGTTCAGCCATGTATTCAGTCCATATGGTCTCAGCAACATCTTATTCTCTCAAGGCCAACCATATTCCTGAAACAGTTCCAGCTATGGAAATGGTGGGCAGAACGTACATTCCAAGGACAGGGGAGGAGAGGAGGAACATCTAATTGTCCAGATCTAGATCAGTTCAACTGGCAGTTACATCCTCTTGACAACCTCCTCTAGGCAGGATGTAATTTAGTCCAGAGATTCTGGTGGCTTGGACTTTGGTGGTTTAGTGGATTGTTGAAACAAGGTCAGGTAGCAGATATATTTTGATTGTAAGATCAACAGGATTGCTTTTTCCATGGCCCATTTTCCATCAAACAGACCAAGCAATCTTAGCGACTTGCCTAAAATGATACAAATGCTAATAGGTGCCAGCACAGGTACTAATTCCAATCTTATTTCAAATAATTTGACTTATCTTACAATATAGTTGACCCTTGAACAACACCGGTTTGAACTATGCAGGTCCACTCATAAGCAGACTTTTCAGTAAATAGACAACCCTTTGTATCTGAGGGTTTCATATAGACGGCTATCATTTTTTAATGTATATATTTATAGAAATCACCTTACCCTTTTGGTATTATCTTTTTCATTTGCTTTCTGTTGAAAAAAGAGATATACAAATATCACTATATTATATATAACATAAAATTATATATTATGTATGATATATGGTATAAAATTTATAATAGATTATGTCATAATTTAAAAAGCATATTACACATATGTTATATATAAAATATGAGACTGAAATTGGTTAAGCATATATTGCTCTAAAAATGAGCAATTACAGACTGTTTATAAATAGAAGTATGAACAAAGATCTTTACTACGGCATTATTCATAAAACATTGGAAACATTCTAAATGTTCAACAGTGGTGGAATGGGAAATTATGATCCAATCACCTATATTATATTCAGAGAAATAGGTCTAGAAGGAACCACATCAAAATATTCATAACTGTTATCACTAACTAATAAGATTGAGCTATTTTTGCTCTTTCATACACTTTTCTATATTCCTCTTTTCCTCCAAAAATGTTTTTTTAAATGAATCATATCATTTCTTTTCATTATTCTTTTTGTTCTCATTGCTTTAAATATAAAAGGAAATTCATGGAAAAACACCATTGTCATTTCTTTTATTGTAATTAGGAAGAAAGTCAACTAAGCATTTTAGGAAATATCACCATTAAAAATACTGGAATAAAAACAGTTTTAAACACTTTGTTTCAGAAAGCATTTATGGTTTCAAAAAAATCAAAGTTTCTTTGAATTATTGTATGTGAAAGGCATGGAAATCAGAATGTACCAGTGATCATAGGTTGAATTAGAATTGATAATGAAAAAATATAATTGTAAACCTGAAGGTTTTATCCTTAATAAAATAGTTTTAAAATAAGCATATTTATATAAGATAAAGAATATAAAACCAGGTATGGTCATTATCCTATTTTTCAAGGTCCTACTTATCCTCACTTCGGGACAAAAAGTTGTCCCAGAAGAATCGAATAATTTTAATAAGAAACCAAGACATCACCATAAAAACATAATTTTTAAACTACATTGATAATATAGTTTTGTGGGTTTTTTTCCTGGATTCTTAATTCCTTCTCTCTAGCAAAGAAAGCTGCATCTGTTCTCCAATTGTAGTATGAGTCAGGGAGAGAAAAAGAGCAAAATGACCCATTTTTCTCATCAGAGGTAGAATATATCTTTTCCTTGAGAGGGACATATAACTTTCCAATACATGATTGACCTTAAATTCTGACACCAGAGAAACTGAAGTATTTGTTTCTTATCTGAAATCAACTTCTCCTCTTCTAGCTCCTCTTGGCTCAGTTCCTAAGTTGGGTATATTTTCTTCCAGGAGGAATTCCAAGATATCGCTGAGCAATTTTCTGCCTATAAATGCGACACGATTTCAACCTTACCTGGGACTTTGGTAGAGTCCCCATGATCATCAAGCAAAGCTCCTCCAATGCATTGGTTACCTGATGGGAATGAGAAGATACACAAGCTAGGATTCTATTTTAACAACATTTGCAGAAAAGATATAACTACAGAATGTTAGGAACACAAGGATATTCCAACTACCCAGAATAGAATCCTCCTTGTGGCCCACTGAAATTCTGTTGGAATCCCTTGGCTTCTCTCATGACAAAAACTTGGCTCCTAAAAGTAAAACCTTCCTTCCAACCAGGAAAAAAAATGTTATGTACTGTATATATGCACTGATTAAGGCTTCCACTGTGGTCCAGATACATAGCTCTTGGTACTTGCTAAGATTTCATGGAATTCTATGATGGAGTAATTAGGGCAGTGTCAAAAGAGGGATTATTCTTCCCAGTTTGCAGTGAAGTCTGAATCTACATGCCAAAGCAATGAGCCTCGCTGAATATTACTCATTATTGGCTAATTTGAAAATCCTACAATTGCTCCCAAACAATGGAAGTTGGAGGGGAAGAAGCCATACACAGTGCATCTAATCTGAGTTACCACCCTTCCAGGCTGCTGACTGCACACCTCAAGATCAGGTTTTTCAAAGCATCTGAGCACAGAAGTAGGGCAGGGCTCCTTGCGGTTAGCAGCCAGCTGGGTGTGGTGAGGAGTAGCACAAATGGACAAGCAGAGGCGAAACCTGCTTTGCACAGAATTTAGCACAGTAGTACCACAAACAATTGATTATTTAATAAATGTGCATTGGAAATAATGAGGATCTGGAACCATGGCGGGGTGATATTATTAGTGGTTAAAAACACGGGCTATGAGGTTAAACGTTCTGCAATTCTATAGCAGAGCAAATTTCATTTCTACTCTTTAATAGCTGTGTTATTAACCTTGGGCGGGTTACCTAACCTCTCTAAACTTCAGTTTCTTCAGCCATAAATTGGGGATGACAACATCACTCTAGAGGGTTCTTGGAAGGATTAAATGTAGGTAAAGCTGTTAGCACAGTGCCAAGTACATAGCAATTAGTTATTAATGGTACCATTAAAAAATGTGTAACCTGTAAAGCTTGATTTACAGCTGTAATTACACTTAATGTAGAAGACATGCCGAAAGGATTGTTAGGGACCACCAATATTCTCTACCTTTGAACAACAGTGTATGTTTAATATGGTCGGTTGTAGTTAGGGATACAGTTGGAATCATCAAACAGCTTTTCTGAGCATCTTTCCTAGCATCAGAGGTCTGCTTTGTTCTCTTCCTTTTGTTTGACTGTCATGCAGAATGTTGGGATAATTATTAATAGTATTAAATGGCTCATATTTATATAATGTGTCAATAAATTACAAAATACTTTCACATACATAATTCACATTCTTTCCTTAAAACACAGCTATGAGGTACCCAGGACAGAAATTGTTATTCTCACATACAAAGGAAGTGAGGTTCTAAGACATTGTCACTTGCACAATACCACACATGGCTAGTAGTTGGTAGAGTGGCCCAGGAACTAGGTCTTCTGAACTTTAGGTATTCCTGTATTGTATTGGTATTGACTGTAAAGCATATGGTTGGGAGCTGGATGAAAGAAAAAGTAGAGTGTGAACACTGACACATTCTTTCTCACTTTTAGGATGGAGACACAGGTCATTCCATAAAAATCTGAAAATAAGTTCCTGAAACTTCTTTTAATGGCCCATCCAGAAATGCTGTAAAATATAAAACAATAACAAGAATATCTAGTGACATCATTTGTCAAAGATGTATCTGAGGAATAAATTCAGATATGTGAGTGTTTCCTTAGAAAACAGATTCTAAGCTGGATGAGGCTTGGCAATAAAATTGAAGTTTGACTGAAAAAAGTTTCAAAACGAATTGCATTTTCTCCAGCAACTCTTTACATGAAGCCATTATTTAATGATCTACAACTATTCTTTAAGGATTTTTCTCTACTAAAATTTTGATATTTTATTGTTTTATATGTGGACCTTAAAGATCCTTTATTTTCTATTTGGTAAAAATGTTTTGAAGCTCTGTTCGGATAATCATATAAATTATAAAATAATAGTTAATTTGAAAATTATTTTTAAAAATGGTACCAGTTAATGTAAAAGATTCCATAGTGAATTTATCAGCTTTTCAAAATGTGCACAGCATCCAAATCCAATAAAAGGTTAGTTTATCTTGATGGTTCTTAGATGAATACTTTAAAATGTATCTGTTTAGTATTGCAGAAATAAAAGTGATTCTGAGGGTGTTCCTGAATTTTATATACAGAGTAAATGCTTGTATGCTGATTAATACCCATCACATGTTATATATCCATCAATGCTTCTCAAGTAATTTGAAATATTGTTCATAAACAGGTCACCTGTTACAATCCTAGTCTTGTTTTGCCATCTAGTGCCTCTAACTTCCTGTAAGTAATCCTGTGAAAACCAAGGAATGGGTTCAGGCAGGAGAACTGTAGCACTACATAAGGCTGTCTACACACCAGCCAGAGTGGCATTCTGGAAGGAGTCTGGAGGACCTCTGCCAAGCCCTCTTCCTCATCCAGAAGACAAGTGATACTGATTAAGAAACTCCAGACAATAAAAGTCAAGACACTATGCTAACTCTGTTATACCAGCACTCAGAGATAGAGCCGCAGACAGACAGAAGCAGCAGTATCCAGTAAAGATGGTATAATAAGGACACACTTATTTCCCACACCTCGTGTTTCCATGCACAGGAGCTAGACTAATACTCCTCTTTCCCCGACCCCTTCTTAACTCTTTCCTATGGGAAGAGGAGTGAGAGTTACCTGAGGGTTACCCGAGAGATGCTCCTTTTAGCCCTTTTCCCTTAGGGAGGCCAACTCTGTTCTTGTCTGGTTTCTGTCCTGTGGCAGAAAACCGGATTCTGACAGGAGACGCCGAGTCACCATCTATCTCAGTTTAATTTTGAGGGTAGTTTTAGAAAACACACTTGGCATCAGATCTAAGTCTACAATCACAAATCGACTTTTCAGTTATAATGATACTTTGATCTCTGTAAGTTTGATTCCTTAAGTTTCTCCTTCCATGAATTTCAAACTCAATTAGGGGATAGGATATTAGCCCCTGAATACAGCAATAGATACATTATTTTTAATCTAACACAATTTTATTTTGAAATTAGCATTTACATTTCCAAAATATGTATATGTTATCTGCAAATCTATTTTACTTAGAGAAGAGAGTCCTAGCACTTTACAACATGAGCTCATAGCACTGATTTTTACCTGCAGATGACGTAATAATTTCTAATATGTTGACATGTTTTAATAAGTCCATAAATTATTATCATTACAAAACACCTCCAACTGGAATTACCTGAGGCTGAGAACCAATGGACAGGAAAGATGAACAAGTAGCATCTATCTATAGAAAACAAAAATGCCAGTTAGACAGAGAATAGCAGAAAATAGAAAGCAGATTTTACAAAGTCAGGTTACCTATGTAACATTAATCAAAGTTCCGGGACAATTTAGGACCCTAGATTTGGGGGAGAAGAGCCTCTTAAACTTTCTAAGAAAGCCCTAGAATTGGTATTTCCCCCAAATTCACCCCCAGTCAAAGAGACCAGTTGATAGAGATTATTAGAGAGTATAAAGATGCTTTAAACATTGAGGGAAAAAACTTTGGGTATTCTTCAGCCTGATAAATGTGAGTGGTGACAAAAAAAGCCTAGAAATTAAGGCGCATCCTGTTATCATGGGGTTCTTTATTACATATAAATCTAACCACATTATCTAAATTAAATGATAATATCATAAGTGCTAAATTAAAATTGCAAGATAAATAGCATATAATAAAAACTCCTACAAAACATGGGCAGTCTACTAGTGTGCAACCAAGGAGCCAGCATTAGAAGAGTTCTATTTTACACTGAAGGTTTAATGAACTACAGCTGGCAACCAGCTGTTCTCAGCCTTTATCCCAAAGAGAAAACTTGAAAGACTTTAAACTGTAATTTAAAAAATTTCTGTAAATCATTTTAAAAACTGTGCTGAGAAGTTAAGCATTATGCTGGATGTCTGAAGTTGTTTATGGCGTTATGTCTTTGGTGGCCTTTTAAAATGGGACTGGGAAAGAAATGGCACTGATTCTTGTCTGTCTGGGATCATTTAGATCGAGTCCTGTTTATGGCATAACATCTCAGGGCCCCCCTTCTAGTCCCAGACTTCTTTGTTGATCAGTTTAATTTAATTTCCATTCTCCTACCAAACAAGAGGAATTATCATATTCTTCATTCATAAGTTCTCAAGCTCCTTATTGCTTCCAAGTTGACCATTTCCTAAAATATATGATTTTTTAATTTAAAGAATAACGAAGGTGTTCAATATTATGGAAAGGCACAGCTTATGTCTCTCTCCTTTTTATCTTCATAGAACTTGTCATCTTTTCTATCACAAATATCTGGGGAATTGTTTTATTCCACTTGTCCCTGTGCTCACACACCTGCTCCCTCTTCTATGTTATATGAACCCAGAATCATGAATACAAAGACAGACACACACAGTGAAAAACTTCTTGAGGGCAGGGGCTACGCCATATCTAACTTGCCCAGAATAAGTGTTCAATAAATCTTATTTAATTAAATTAAATGAACATCTGGAAAAAAATAAAAGAGAAGATAATTGCAAGGGGAAAGCCAAAAGATGCACTTTTAAGCTTTGAATTGTGACCAATACATAATATATCACCTCCAAACGTTATTTAGTGTGATTTAGCAGCATAGGAAGAAGTGGATCCTCCCCAAATTTTTGTGGTGCTTAGGTATCTGAAAATATTACTTGCTCAAGGAGAAAACTGTCTACCCATAGCCAAGCTGCCCATCTGTGTGAGGTAGCCATGTCTAAGAATAGAAAATCTTTGAAACTCAGGGTTAACTAATCGGTGCATCAACATTGTTTGAATAAATGCATCAGAATAAGAAAAACACTAATTAGTCAAATTAGTAGATAATTACAAAGCTTTTCAGTTTTTGTTCTCTTTCCTTTTAAAAGGCACAGCAACATTGCTCACCCACTTTCCATTTGGGTAAGCATTTGTTCATTTTACTCAGCTTCTGGCCATTAATGGTTTTGTGCCACTAATTGCTTTTGAGATCTCTGTAGAGTCCATTGATGAATCTGTTTGAAAATGTATTAAGATGTAAATGGCATTTCTGTTTTTTATAGATGATGCTTGTTCATCTTTCCAGTCCATTGATTCTCTATATGTGTTTCTAGTGTTCTTAACATCTTAACTTCTTTAAATATTTTTTCTCTAAAAGAAATTATAGTGCTTTTGCATCTCTGATTTTCTTCTAGCATTATCATCTAAAATATTTTTTCATCAAAGATTTCCCACAGAAATATACATGATTTCAAGCTAAATGTTTCTGTATTATATATTAATATCTGTTATCTAAATTATTCATCTTGTTTATATATTTCTAGTATGTATCTTGATATATCAAGGCAAAGCCCCTTATAATAGGCTTTATGAAATTCCACGCTATCAAAGACTGGTCAGGACTTGGCACTTACCATCTATTTTGTCATCTTCCTTATATATTTTGTCGGAGGTGGCTTAGGTAGAAAGGGTATTGTCCTCAGTTCATAGCTCACTATCATTACTGGACTCACTTTATTTATTCTTTCTATATTTTCATTTACTACTCCTAGTCCATCATCCCACAGGCAACTCTTCTAATGTGTTTGATGTGGATCCCATTTGCTTAGGTTCTTGTAAACTCTGTTCTGTTATTTGGTGTGCATGTATAGTATTTTCCTACCTTTTTCAATTGACACTATACTTTGAGATCTATCCATATTACTGGGTGCATCTACTCTGTTGTTGCTAACTGCTCTAGTGCACTCTATAATGTGCACCCACCACATGTTGCCTACCCACTCCCCAGTCATGTACATCTGTGTTTCCTGCGATTCCTTTCATTACCTCCTAGATCTGTCCTCTACTTATGCATCTGTAGGACAATATCTTCGGGCTATAAAACCAGGAGAGGGAATGCTAGACCATGGGGATATCTAGATTGCTTTTCAGATGGCTCCACTGTTGACACTCACCAGCAAAGCATGAGGGTTCATACACCCCATACCCTTGCTAACACTCACCATTATTTAGATTTCAATTTTTTGCCAGTCTAATGGGTGGAAAGTGACACTTTGCTTAATTTTTATTTCATTATTACTTAGTTCGAGCATCTCTTTAGATGCTGGTTGCTTGTTGGACTTTTAGGTTTCATCTTTTAAATTGTTCTATCCTTTGACTATTTTTACTTTGGATTCCTATCTTTATCCAATTGATTTGATAGCGTTTCTTAGGTGTTCTAAAAATTAATCCCTTATCAGTTTTAGACATTGTTAATACCTTATTTCAAAGGCTGTTGTGTACCTTTCTCCATGCAGTTTTTTCTTGATACAAATATTTACTTTTAATGTAATTCAATTCATCATGTTTTTGGTCTTATGATTTATATTTGAAGTTTTATTTAAGAAGTCTTTCCCTGCTCCTACTAAAGATATTTTCCTGATAGAAAATATTTTCTATTAATTCTATAATTGCACCTTTTATACTTATCTTTAATCCATCTGGAGCCCACCTTTGTATAGGATGTTAAGTTTTATTTTTCTCCATACAGCAAGCCAGTTTCCCAAATCTCGTTAGCTAAACAATCTGTCCTTTCCCCACTGAATTTTAGTATTACTTTTATTGTAAAATAAGTTTGTGTGTATGAGTATGTCTATCTTATTGGGTCTTCCCAGAAACAGACCTTGTAATAAGGATTTGGATATAAGTAGATTTCTTTGGGAGATGGCCCAAAAAGCACTAGCAAAAGAGTTACAGAAGTAAAACAGGGAAGAAAAGGAATCCAATAAAGGGAATGTTATCAAGAAGGTTACCACAGTGTAACTGGGGTCAGTTTGTCTGGAGGACTCTAGGAGCCAATGTAGAACTCAAAGTTTTCCCGAGGGCAGAGGCAGCAAAGGTATTTATATACTAACTCCCTTAGGTCACCAACTGAGGACTGCTATCAATGGGGGCATTTACTCCCAGGCATTTCTAATTTGCCCTGAACACAGGCTAAGCAGGTAGAGTCACAGGGTATGCAGTTCGAAACAATAAATTTGGAGTGCTCTGGAATGGTGAATGCCAAAGGGATATGACAGGGCACTGACAGTGTCTGCTAAACTCTCCAAGCTCTAGTCTCTGTTCTACTGATTCATTTGTTCTTGAGCCATTACGTTTTTCATTATCACAGTTTTATAGTACTTCTTGATACCTGGTAGGTAAAGTTCTTACTCTACGCTCTTTATATTTAATATTTCCTCAGCTATTTGTAGATCTATATTTTTCCATATCAATTTTAGTTTATATTTGTGAAGTTTCTGACCAAAAAACTAAATAAAATTATGACTGGGATTACATTAATTTTTATGGAATTTACATTGATTAATATGGGGATAATTTACATTTTTATTACATTAAATAAATTGTTCCATCAAAGAGCAAAGAATGTCTCTCCATATAGTCATATCATATTCTATTTCCTTTATTAAAATTTAATTTTTTTCTCTATAAAGTTATTGTGTTTTTGGTTAGGTCAATTCCTAAATATTTATAGTTTTTGTTGCCATTGTGAAAAATATGTTTTTAATTTTATTTTTTTGTTACTTTTTCCTAATGAAAAGAAATGTTACTGATTCTTGTATATTGGTATTATATCCCAAAATCTTCTCAAATCTCATCTAAGCTCTAATACTGTAAGAGCAAGAAATTTGTTAATGTAATCCATCATGATTATAGATTAAAGGAGAAAAGGCATATTTTTCATCTCAATATTGATGCAGATAAAGCGTTTAAGTTCAAATTTGATTTAGGATTAACAAAACTCTTAGGAAGACAGGAAAAAAGAAGAGAACGTCCTTAACTGGGTAAAGATTATATAACAAAATTCTAGAGCAAATTTATATTTTGTGGAGAAGCTTCAGATACATTTACTGTGTAACATAGTACTGGAGGCCTTGCAGGGAAAAAAAAGGAAAGAAATTTTCTTCAGTGCTTATTGTGTTATGCATCTTTTGGGCATCAGATATTTTTCTAGGAATTTATTCATTGCATCTAACTTTTCAATATTATAACCATATACCTGTCCATAGAATTTGTTTTTGGTTACAGTTTTATCGAGATATAATTCACATACCACACGATTCAACCATTTAAAGTGTACAATTCAATGGTTTTTACTGATATTTATAGAGTTGTGCAACCATTGCCAGTCGATTGTCCATAATACTTTTAAAAACATTTTAAAATCTCTGTTTTTCTTGGTGGTCTACCCCTTTTTTCAATCTATATCTCGTTTATCTTTATCTTCCCTCTGAAATTCAAAATCAGTGCCTATTAACATTTGAAAAAACAAACATTTGTTTTTGTTAAATTATTGATTTGTTCTTCTTTCTCTTTATAAAATTTATTTCTGCCCCTATTTTTATTATTTACTTCTTTCTGGTTTCTTTGATTTTCCCTGTTGTTCTTTTTTCTCATATTTTTTTAGTTGAAAGCTTAGCTTGTTTTTCAATTTTCTCCCATCCTGATAAATATACATGAAGCTAAAATTTCTCTTTAGCTACTATTTTAGCTCTAGTCTACAATTTTTGACTTATAATGTTTTTATGTCACTCAGTTCTAAGGATTTTGTAATTTTATTTTTAGCCCAAGGTTATTTACCGAAATGCTATTTATTTTACAAATAGATGAGATATTCAAGTTATATTTTCATTATTAATTTCTAATTTTATTGCATTATGATTGAAAAACACTTTCAATGGATCCTTTCTAACTTACAGAAACTTTCTTTTTGTTCTAACCCATGGTCATTTTTTTTTCAGTGTTCCAATTATACTCAAAAAGAATGTGTATACTATTAAATGTAAGCTTTAAAAAATATTTTTAATAGCTCAAGTTTATTAATTGTATGGTTAGGTCCTTGACATATCTACTAATGTATTATCTGTTTAACTATCAGTTCAGAGAGAGATGTATTAAAGTTTCCAACTACAACTGTTCATTTACCTATTTTTCCCTGAACTTCTGTCAACTGTTAAGTTTTAAGTTTGTTTTGTTAACATGTATTAATGGTGGTTGTATCTTTTTGCTTGTTTTTGTTTTATTAGCATATAAGATCCCTCTTTGTTATGATAGTTTGTTCATTTGAATTTTATTATTTTTTTTATTATGGTGATATTGGTTAACAAAGTCCAGTAAGTTTCAGGTGTACGATTCAACAGTAAGGCATGTATATATTGCATTGTGTTCACTGCCCATAGTTAGATTTCTTTCTGTCACCACATATTTGACCCCTTTTACCACATCTACCTCCCGCCTCCCCCTATCCTCTGGTAACCACTAGTTTATTGTCCATGTCCATGAGTCTCTGTTTGTTTGTCCTGTTTGTTTGTAGCTTTTAGGTTTATATCCCACATACAAGTGATATCACCTGTTTTTCAACTTTTTCTGTCTGGCTTATTTTGCTTAGCATGATTATCTCAAGGTCCATCCATGTTTGAATTCTATTTTATGAAATGTGAAGACTACTACTTCAATTTTCTTGCCATTCATATCTGCTTGGTACATCATTTTCTATCCTTTTATGCTTAGACTTTTTTTGTTTTCTGTTTTAAGTGTGACTGTTATAGACAATATATTTGAAATCTTTTTTAAAAATTCAGTCTGAGTATCTCTGTCTTTTAAGTGGTATATTTTAGCACATTCACATTTATTGTAATTACTCTATTATGAGGACTTATTTTTGCCATCTTACTTTACCATTTACTGTATTTTTTCCTTTCATCTTTCCTTCTTTCATTTATTAAAAAATTACAATTCTGAATTATATGATATCAGGATTCTAGTAAAATCATAGTTGTACAAAAGCTTAATTATACTATTTCATTTCACCATGATAATTTCAAAGAAGGGTAAAGTTTCCATTAATTCATATGAGGATAATTCTTTACCTCATTCCACAACTGTAGTTCTTGTTCAGGCTGTAATCCTTGAAGTAATATTGGAGCACCTAAAAAAAAAGTTATACTCACATGTTAATTGTATAGTGTTTCTTCTAAAAGTAAATATTTATATATACAGTCATTAGTCACTTAACAATGAGGATACGTCTATTAAGCCCTTCACTGTGAGAAATGTGTTGTTAGGTGATTTCATCATTGTGCAAAAATCCTAGAGCACACGTACACAAAACTCAGTGGTACAGCCTACTACACAACTAGGCTATGTGGTATAGCCTATTGCTCCTAGGCTACAAACCTGTACAGCATGTCACTGTACTAAATACTGTAGTCAAGTGTAACACAATCGTAGACATTTGTGTATCTAAACAGAAAAGGTACAGTAAAAATATGATATGAAAGATTTTTTTAAATGATACACTTGTATAGGGCACTTGCCATAAATGGAACTTGCAGGACTGGAAGTTGCTCTAGGTGAATCAGTGAGTGAGTGGTGAATGAAAATGAAGGCTTAAGACATCACTGTACACTGTTATAGACTTTGTAAACACTGTACATTTAGGCTACCCTAACTTTATTTTAAAATATTTTTCTTTATTCAATAATAAACTAACTTTAGTTCACTGTAACTTTTTTTACTTTACAGGCTTTCTAACTAGGCTTTAAACTTTTTGACTCTTTTGTAATAACACTTAGTTTAAAACACAAACACATTTTTCGGCTGTACAAAAATATTTTCTTTATAACCTTACTCTATAAGCTTATTCTATAAGCTTTTCTTCTATTTTTAAAATTTCATTGTAATTTTTTACTATTTAAAATATTTTTGTTAAAAACTGAGACACACACACATTAGCCTAGGTCTGCAGAAGGTCAGGATCATCACTATCACTGTCTTCCATGTCCACATCTTGTCCCACTGGAAGGTTGTCAGGGGCAATAACATGCACTGAGCTGTTATCTCCTATAATAACAATACCTGCTTCTGGAATACCTCCTGAAAAACCCGCTTAAGGTTCTTCTTGAGGATATGTCACTCTTAATGCCTATGATGGTTTGCTTGGTTTGTTTGGTTGTTTGTTTGTTTGTTTCACCATAGATTTACTTGTAAGCAAAAAATGCATCATGAACATTCTCTATTAATGAAAACCTTTCAGTTTTGGAGTCTATGTTTTCCAACTTTTTGAGGAGCTTATTGAGGTCTACACTTGCTTCTGCTAAACCCTTAACTCCAAATTTTCTTGGGGGTTCCTATTCTTTTTCTTCTCCTGCAGTTTCTTTTTCTCTTGCCTCTTCTTTAGCTATGTGTTCCTGTTCGAGTCCCAACAATTTCTCATTAGTCAATTCCTCAGCCACCAGCTCTAAGAGCTCCTCAATTTTATCCTTATCTACACCCAGGTTAAAATTGTTTGCCATCTCAACCACAGCCTTGTTGATTTTTCAACTTCCTCATCATTGGCAAATCCTTTGAATTCATGAGTGTCTTTTTCCAGATGCCATTCATATACTCTTTAGTGTTATCACCCCAAACCCACACAAGGTTCCTGATGCAATCAGAGATGTTGTCATCTTTCCAGAATTCTATCAGTGTTTTCTCAGTGTCTTCCTCAGTTGCAGCAGTAGCTTGGATAAAGATCTTCTCAGGTAGCAGGCCTAATAAAATGTTATAACTCCTTGATCCATTGGTTGTTGAATCAAAGAGGTGGTGTTTGAAGGAAGAAATATCACTTTGATATTAGGATAAAGATCACTGATAAAAGATATCCAAGAACACTGTCAACAATAAACAAAATCTTAAAAGCTATGTTATTCTCCAAATAGTATTTCTCCAATTCGCTGGCATAGCAATTCAAGAGGACATCTTGGAAGAAGAGCTGGGTCATCCATGACTTCTTATTGTTCCTGTAGTACACTGGCATTATGTATTTACTGATACACTTGAAGGTCCTGTAGTACTCCCTATTCCAGATCATGAAGAGTTTCAATCTGTGGCCTGCAACATTGGCCCCAAACAAGACAATTATCCTGTCCTTTAAAGTCTTAAAACATGGCATTGACTGGGCCTCCTTATGGATGAAGTCCTTTCAGCCATCTCCAGAATAAGGAGGCTTCATCCATATTGAATATTTGCTCTGGCAATAATTTTCCTCCATGATCAACTTATCTAGAGTTTCTAAAAATTCTTCAGCTACCTTCACATGAGCTCTCACACACTCACCACTCACTTTCACATTATGTAATGAATAGCAAGTCTTGAATTGTTTAAACCACCCAGAACTAGCAGTAAATTCAACATTGTAGCCGGATCCAGCTATTAATTCAACATTGGCAATCAAACTTTTTGCTTTGGCCATGATCTTCAGGTGTTGTGTCTGGCTTTCAATCTATGTCATTAGATGTTTCTCTTTGTCTGTTATAGGCCTTTCTTGCATCTTGTTAGTCTCACTGCATTCAATGAAGCAGATCCTTTAGCATCTTCTGTCACTTTGTTTTTGTTCCTCAAGATTACAGCTATGGTAGAATAGAACATGCTTGACTGGCAAGCAATAACCATCACTGATTTCCACCATCATAGCCCTTAATCACTATTAATTTTGTTTCCAGGTTAATCAACTAGATGTGGCCTCTTACTGGTGAGATTCACAGTGGGTTTTGTACATTTAGGGGTCATGATGGACAAAACAATGCAAGATTAAAGCAAGCACAAGAGAAAATGATGCAATCAAGAGACACAGGAAACATGAGATGTATGAGGCTGCTGCCAGGGTAACAAAGTGTACAGTTGTACTCCAAACTTTTTTTATAGTAGAAAGGATACAATCTAAAATAATGATAAAAAGTATAGTATACTAAATGCATAAACCAGTAACATAGTCATTTTTTATTATTATCAAGCATTATGTACTGTACATAATTGTATGTGCTATACTTTTATATGATTGGCAGCACGTAAATTTGTTTACACCAGCGTCACCACAAACGTGGGCATTGTGCTATGATGTTATGATGGCTACGATGTCACTAGATGATGCAAATTTTTCATCTCCATTATAATCTTATGGGACCACCATGGTATACATGATCCAATATAGCTTATTCTCGGATAATATTTTTCATTTTTCACTGTACATCCTTACCCTCTGACTCGAACTAGATATTTCAGCATTTGACTTAGTATGAGACATACTAAATTAACCTTAATAACATAACAAGGACATTACTTTGAAAAATGAATTACTCATATCCCTTCATGAAAACTTGTACATGAATGTGCATAGAAGCATTATTTGCAATAGCCCCAAAGTAGAAACAATACAAATTTCCATTATCAACAAAAGGTTGTACATCCACTGCGAAATGCTATCAGTCATAAAAAAGAATGAACTATAGATGCTCCTTGACTTACAATGGGTTTACATTCTGATAAACCCATCATAAGTTGAAAATACCATTAAGTTGAAAATATCGTTAAGTCAAAAATGGATTTAATATACCTAAACTACTGAACATCACAGCTTAGCCTAGCCTACCTTAAACATGCTTGGAACACTTACATTAGCCTACAATTAGGCAACTATCTTGAGTTTCATCTCGAAAGTAATTGACTTCCTTTTCTTCTTACCAGAAGCAGGAGACACAAATGGGTGTTCCGTAGACATGATGGGATGCAAAACCACAAAAGACAATATCCAAAAACACTGGCTACAGCATACTGTAGAGTATTAGTTGTTTATTCTCGTGATCGTGTGGCTGACTGGGGGCTGCGGCTCACTGCCACTGCCCAGCGTCATGAGAGAGTATTTTACTGCATCTCACTGGCCTGAGAAAAGATCAAAATTCAAAATTTGAAGTATGGTTTTAGTTGAATGAGCATCACTTTCACATTTGTGAAGTTGAAAAATCGTAAGTTGAGCTATGGTTAAGTTGGGGACCATCTGTTCTGATATTTGCTACAATATAGATGAACTTCAGACATATTATGCTAAATCAAATGAACCAGATACAAAAGATGCAAAATATTGTTATGATTCCATTTATATGAAATGTCCAGAAAAGGCAAATCTATAGTGATAAAAAGATTAGTGGTTGCCTGGAGCTGGTGGTAGGAATGAATTTTAAGAATTGTGTAAGGAGTAAAGACCTGAGTAGAAAAAGACATTTCTTAATTTAATCTTGAGCATTTGATCACTTACTGTCACAGGTCAAATCAAGTGACCATTTGTTGCAGACATCCAAAATATGACCCTCTTATTAGGAAATTTCCTTCTTTAATATTGTTCTCTGAATAATAAAACTATTTCCATCTACAGAATCTGTAGCTGGTTCTTGATCTTCTCATTGCTATTGTATGCTCTGCTAACTGATTTTTGCCAAGGATGCTACACTTATCAACACTGTTTTATTTTCCTCTGGCTTTGTGACATTTTCATTGTTTTTAGATATATGCATCATTCATAACGATTAATCTTGGTAGATTATCTCCCAGTTTTGCTTATGTATGTCATGCTTCCCCTTCGGTGACATCCTTAGAGATTCAGCACTAGGGCAGATCACACTGTATATTCACCCTCAACACTCCCCATCACATTTTTAGAGAGATAAAATTTGTTGTTTAATATCAATAAAAAGTCTGGAGAGGAAAGAAAACAGTCTAGGAGGTTTCTGTGTAGTGACAGATGTGTTTCATCCCTTAGCTTGAGAAATATTAGGGAAATTTATGAGATGATTAGTCAGACAGCAAATATGCTGTTTTGCAAATAAAACCCAAGACTTGTGTTTTTTAGAAACCAGCTGCTGCTTTCCTTCGTTTCTGCTCAATCAGTAAGTCTGAAAATTCCCCCACCTCCCAAAAAAGCAGTTATTTCCGACTGATGAAAAAAATCACTGCAAGCATAGCATGTAACATTTGCTTTACAGAGGAAAAAAACAACTTTTGAAACTATGATTATCTGCTTCCTCGATCAACTAGATAAAGATTGCCATCCTAATTTTACCAATAACAAATTGAAAAAAGATTACTTTGCATAAATCAGGTTCTACCAATGCTGGCTAGCCTCCCCCAACCCACTCCAATGCCTCAAGGAAAGGAGAAAACCATAACAATGAAAGAAAAGCAATAAAAATAAACATATTAGGAAAAGAAACACAGCTTCAGTTTCCCCACCTCTAATCGAGGGCTGAGCTACATGCTCTGAAAGTTCTCAGCATTTGTGGTTGCAAGTATCCAACATTCTGAACAACGCTGAAACAGTTTGCCCACCTTTACCTCACTGACAGGAGAGAAAAGGGAAGCTAGGAACCTGCTGGGAAGCTAAAAAAAAATTCATGGTCTTAACAGACAGTGTCTGGCCCTGGAGAGGCCCTGGCTCAAAGATGGAAGATGAAGGATGGTCCCCTCAAGGTACCTGGAAACATATCCTTGAGGAAACTGGTAAGTGATTCCCCTGGTAAAATGAGGTCTGCTCTGTTCTACCTTGTCTCCCAAGCTTCAGACCTCACTCCTTGACCTTGCTTTTGCTATTCCCTCTCTTTTCCTTAATCCAAGCTCATGAAGTCCCTATTGTTATCAAATCACAGCTGCCTTCCCTGACTTTAGCTGAAGCACCGACTGCAAGCCAGGCTGGCATACTTGCTTCTCTAACTCTGTATGATAAAGTCTCTACTCCTTTTCCTGATCTGCTGCCTGAAAACCTGTAAGGCACAGAGCCCTTCTAAACAGCTTGAATAGGGCCTGTTTCACTGCTCAGGATTGTCTGAACAGAACAGAAATTCACTCGCCAGAGAAGCTGAGCACTCCCCAACTTTATCTCGCATCAGCAGGTGAAGTAGCTCCCCAACTTTATCTCGCATCAGCTGAAGTAGAAACTCACTCTAGTTTGGCATCTACCATCAATCCCAACAGTAATTGTAAAGGGAAAGCGTTTTAATTTTCACTAATTTAACTCTCGTTACCCATGGGCCACGGGGGCTAAACATCCCTAGTCTGAGGGAGCCCTACAAGTTTCCATCAACCCCAGGCTGTCGCCTGCCTGCTGGGAGACAGCGCGCCGGGCCTGGGGATTTCAGCCGGCTGGGGAATGCGCTCCTGCCGGGTCATTGGCACCTGCACCGCTGGCTGCCGGCGCCTGTCATCACGGGGGAGAACCTGGAGAGCCCGGTCTCCAGAAGCCAGAAAGGTTGGGAAGAGGGCTCAGGGCAGGCTTACCTCGACAGGCGCGCGCGCAATAGGAGAGCAGCAGCAGCAGCGCCAGGAGCCGGAACGCCGCAGCCGCTTGTCCCGGGGACAGCCCCGGGCGGCGGCTCGCTACTGGCGGCATCTCTGCTCCTGCGGGCGGCTGGGGGCTCGGGACCCTGCGCTGTCCCACGCAGAGTCCTGGCGGTGTCTCTGCGTCCCTGGTGCGCGCTCGCTGGGCTCGGCCGCGGAACTGACAGTCCGGCACGCTGCGAACTTTTAAATCTCGCGGACACGTGGGCTGAGGCAGCGCGTGCTCCTGGCTCGTCACCTCGCCGCCTCGCGCCACGGTCTCCCGCGTCACTTCGGACCCGCTGCCCGCCCCCGCTTCACCCTGCAATGGGACCGGCGCCCCTTGGCCCGAGTTTCTGACTCAAGCTACCACGTATTTTCGGTGTCTCCGCCCTAGGAGCTCTGGGATAGGGGAGAAGGGAATTAAAACAATGAACATCCATTCCCTTCTTTGGAAAGATTTCAGTGGAAGCCGAAGAGGCTGGGATCAGGTTTTTAACTTGGATGCGGTGATGCTCTCTCGTTCCTTTAGTCTGCCTGGGACGCTCCCTCTTCCTCGTTCTCCCGGGAAAGCCTTCTCTGCCCCACCGGACTGTGCGGTGACTCCTCTCCCTGAGCTCCAGAAGCCACTTCTGGGGAAGCACCTCTGTTCTGTTCACGCGTTTATTCCCAGCTCCTAGCACAATGCCCGGTGCTTTTTAAAGCAGTACTAGTTCAACCGCGATGTTGATGTTCCCCGAATTCCTGCAAGGTTTTAAGACTATTTAGGCAAATGCAATTGTCTATTAATGAAGGTCAAGAAGAAAGGACTGCTGGGGGCTTGACCATACATAAATTTCTAGCAGGTCTAGAAGGTCTCTGGCTGTCCTATGGATTTCCAAGCCTCAGGTAACTCCTCTTTCTGTGCATTTCTGCTGCTGTCACCCCTTAGCTGTTGCATCCTGATTTCTAGAGTGACCTGACTTCTACTAACCCCCTCCATACTTTACTTCCTTAGTGGAACAGTCCAGGGACAGCCTCGTCTAGGACACTGGCTGAAAAGGTTTTAATTTCCTTCTACAGAAAAAGGGAAGACTGATCTTATTGGACCTCCTTTTGAAAGGAACGCTGAGAAAAGGGTAGAATGGAAGTACCTTAACATTTCTTAAGGGGCATCTTTAAGTCAGACATTTTCCCATGCCATTTCATTTAATATTCATGGCATCTCTGTGATGTTAGAGTATTATGATTCTTATTTGATGCTGCTTGGAGAGATTTATGCAGTCTGGCCAAGGATATTAGCATGTGAGAGAGCCACTGTCTATTCTACTCTCCAAAGATGCTTCTCCCCTAAATCAGGGTTTTTAATGTATCAGGCATGCATTGTGCAACCCACCATAGGCAAGGCCTGCCCTTAAGGATACAACACTTAGTAATAGTAGGACCTTTCCTACAGGAAATTACGATTGGGTAAAGGACCAAAAGCCCATACTCAAATAGCTGTGCGACAAGGCAAATTGAGATAGTGCTCTGTCAGAAATACAGAGAGAGCAGGAGTAAAACTCTGACAGAAAAGGTGAAAAAAAATAATAGGTGCCATTTTTAAATTCTTTATATACACAAAACAGATGAGCAAGGCCAGATTACAGAATCTGGTCCAGGTTCAAGGATAGATGAGAATAAATTTGATTCAAGATCGCTTGTACTTTGATTTATTCTCAGAGCAGTAAAACAATAGTGCAAAGGATGTAAATGAAAAAAAGATATAGGTAGGTGGAGGTGCTCTGGTTCTACATTGCCTTCCTCGTGTCTCCTGGAGGTACACTGAAAAATCCTTACTCTCTGCAGTCTTCTTGGGGTGAGATGTCAGTGAGAACAGCCTGAAAATAGTGGGCTCAATGATTTTATACCCCCAGCAGGTGAGCAAAACATGTCACTTAGTGTACATATGCAAGAGTTTTTAACAGGTCTAGAAGGTCTCTGGCTGTCCTATGGATTTCCAAGCCTCAGGTAACTCCTCTTTCTGCATTTCTGCTGCTGTCACCCCTTAGCTGTTGCATCCTGATTTCTAGGGTGACCTGACTAGGAGTAGAGATATTAGGTCAAATCTGCTTTAGTTTGTTTTCCAATGTGTTGTACTCATGTATACTCCATCTGCAGTGCATGAAGTTTCCATTGCTGCACATCTTCGAAAAAATCTTTGCTAATCTGGTGGACGCAGCATCTCATTGTGGATTTAATTTGCAATTCCCAGTGCTAACGAGACTGAGTATCTTTTCACAAATGTATTGGCCATTATTGTTTTCTCTTCAGTGAGATGTCAATTTATCTTTTGCCCATTTTTCCCCATTGGATTGTTAATTGTTGTTCTTTTTTCCTTACCCATTATAGGAATGCCTTATGTAGTCTGGAAATTTTGTTGATTAAAGTGTGGCAAGTATTTACTCCCTAGTTATGGCTCTTTCTTAACTCTATGTATATGAGTTTCTATTTTTGAAGGAATGCTTAAGAACAGACTTGCAGACTAATGGTAATGTTACTATGTGATTTGAATAATAAGAAAAAATGGACAGGGGAGTGAGGGCAGCTGGGCACTTTACTTACGTGTAGCAAAGATTGGGAATTCCACAAGTGACCAAACAGAAGGAAGCTGATTCTGAAGGTCCCTTTTTGTCTAAATATTTCAGAGATGCTAGATCCCAGATCTCTGCAGTGAAGGCTCAATGATTTAGTTACAAACATTCCAATGTGTACCTAGAAGTTCACATTCATTTAAATTGAGCTTGTATATCAGTATACACCACCAAATGTAGTGCAGGATCTAAAGCATTCCCTCTTACTCTGTTCCAAGCCAAAAGTTTGATTCTGGATACCATGCTGACTCCTATTGTCTCTTACATTCTTGACCACACAATGGCAACTGGACTTTGCTTTCTGCTTACGACCTATAAGAATGAAGGCTCCATTAGGTCATAGACCTGTGAATTAGCAAAACCTGATAGGTTGTGATAGGAATGTCCAGAAAAGTCATCATAGAAAGCATTAGGAAGGGGAGGAGGGTTGAATGTCAGGAGCATGGAAGAGTCAGCAATAGACAGAAATCCAGTCAAGCAGTAGTTGGCAATAGCAAGCTCCAGTAATAGGAAAACAAGATCCAGTTTTAGGAATTGAGAATAGGGGCAAGATCTGGAAGGTTCAGGAGTTCTGGGCAAGAGAGTCATGCATTCCTTCAAATATAAACTTTCTAGGGTTTATAGCATTGACCAAGTCAAAGTCTCTGCCTTCGTGGAGTTGACCGATTTTTCAAGGAGAGACAGACAATAACAAGTAAACAAAACAACTTCAAATAGTAGTAAATGCTATAAAGAAATCAAAACAGGGTAATAAAATAATAGAAGGTGACTGGTAGTTGGGGAAAAGATACTTGAGACAGGGTTATCTAGGCTTGCCTCTCTGAGAAGATGTAGGAGGGCTGAGAGATGAGAAGAAAACAGTTCTGAGAAGAACTGTGAAAAAGAGCCCCAGGCAAAGGGAGTATCAAGTACATACAAGCTCAACCCTTCAAGGAGCAGTAGAAAGCCAGTGTAACTGGCGCAGGGTGAGTGAGTGGACTGTGGGGATCTGAGGTCAGAGAAGTACACAGGGCAGAGTACTGATCATTGAAGGGTCCTTGAGGCCATGGCAAGGAGTTCACATTTTTATCTGAAGTAAAACTGGAAGCCTTTAGAGGAGTAAGATAACCTAATTTACACTCGAAAAATATTACTCTGGCTTTAGTGGTGAGCAGGCTCTGGGGGACCCTAGTAGAAGCAGAGGCTAGGTGAGAGGACATTGCGGAAGTCCACCTCGGAGCCATGAAAAGGGGTAAAGTACTGATATATGCTTCAACATGGAGGAACCTTGAAAATATTATGCTAAATGAAAGAAGCCAGACACAAATGGCTGCACATTATATCAGTTCATGTATACATCAGAAAAAGAAAATAGATTAGTGGTTTCCAGGGGCTGGGGAGAAAGAGGAGTAACTGCTAATAAGTATAGGGATTCCTTTTGGGGTGATAAAAATGTCCTAGAATTAGACAGTGGTGGTGGTTGCACAATCTTGTGCATATACCAAAACTCAGCAAATTCTATACTTTAAAAAGATGAATTTTATGATATGTAAATTAAATCCCAATTTTAGGCCAGATACAATGATGATAACCTGTTGGATTGAATGGTGGAAATCTGCAATTTAGCGCAAGAAAAGATTGTCTGTTTTGGCATGAAATATCCAAATTTTGCTGTTTAATCCCTGGATGTTCTTGGTAACTATAAAATCCTCCTCTCCCACTTGTGAAGGTGTTCACCTAAGACATGTCTGCCTCAATGACTATGCTATCGTCACTAGCTTTAATGTTTTCAAGGCAGAAAATACTTCATGAAACCCAGATAGAGAACTTTATTGTCACTTTGATATAACTGTTAACTATGAATAACATAATTAACTAAAAAGGGGAAAGTGGATACTACTTGTGAAATAATGTTATACTTCAATGTTTATAGGACGCTCAGTCATTCATTCATTCAGTGAGCATTTATTAAGCCAGTGTCAGCTGTAAGATTTATAGACATAAAATGCTGAAAATTCTGTCTTGTTTTATCTTCTCTAAGATCACATGCACCCTGTCATACATCTCCCCAATTTCCTTTTATTTGCTGCCTCGCTCATGCAGGTTGAACCATTTAGAAATACCACCTCATTTCAAACTTGGAATGTAGAGAAAAATTTTTGCTTAAAGGTATCTAATACCGAAGAGTAAAAGTTCTACTGAAGTTATGGAAATTAAAAGCCAACTACTGCAAAGACCCAGTTTAGCCTGTAGGATCTAAGGAGAATTCAAGAAGCCAATTGTGGAGCTACAGAGCTGAGGCTCAAGAAGAGACAGTCATTTCTGGCAATTATGGGAAAATGACCAAATGACTGGGGTCTATTTGGTTCAGAAGATGGGCATCTATTTAGTAACAAGGGTACCTTTCAGCTCTCTCCACAACATCTTTGGCGTCTAGATGAAATTCTCATTTTATAACTGAGTTTGCTTTAACTTTAAATATTAATATTTCATAAGTTTTATAGTAACTCCAATAATCCTAATAATTCCTTGTCCCATATATCTCTACAAACTATGTAGATATCAACCTCTCTGCTTCCAGCAAAAAGAAAAGACTTTCAAATGAACTTCATTGTACTGAGCAATCACTCCAGGAGAAACATTCTTCTCAAAGACAAAAGGACAATGAATACAAGAAATAGAGGACCACAAACAAAATACATCTACATTTCTTATGACTTCCTGTTGTAGGATAATTAACTTTGCCTTGAGAATGACACAGCACCTCATGTAATTCTAAGAGATACAAACACCCTTTACAGGAGAGAGAAGCTTTTCTTATTCTAATGGGTGGATAAAATTATTTAAATGGTTTACAGGAATAATAAGTAACATTATTAAAAGTCCTTCCCCTTGAGGTTTTCAGAGTCATCCAGTGTACATAGTGACTGTGATGCGGACTGATGGTGAATAAAAGATTTGTATGTCCAAGAGAAATTCTTTTTTTGTAAAAGGAGCTGGGTTTCCTCTCTTCAATCTCTGGAGGTCGGGAGGCACTGTGGGTGGAGATATGTTGCTGAATTCTCTTAAGCACAGCCCAAGGAAAGTTGTCATGCAGCCTGAAACAGCACAGGTTTATCTCAGAGAAACTTTAGAGATAAATTCCTTTCAAGAGAAGTAATTTTTTAAAAAGCAAGTCAGTAACTTTTTGCAGTTTACTTTGATGCTCATAAGACTAGATTTGCACATGATAGATGTTTTGAGGGTAAAGCCATTATACAAAAACAGACCTATTAATGCTAATTGGAAACATGATATTAAAAAAAAATTCTCATCCATTGAAGTTAGAATCTTTTCTTTGTTCCTTAAATTGCAATTAAAATATTAATACATACTTATGAAAGATTTATTAGATTTTCTTGACATATTTATGAATCGTGTCTGGGCAAAGCTGGCAGAAAAATAAATACTTTCAGACATGAAGTTTTATTAAATTGGAACCTAAAATTAAATGATAACTATAAAAATATAAGGACAGATCAAGTAAATTTTATTATTTCTACAAAGTAAATTGTACAACCATTTTTTTATAGTTAGACTGGTCTTTAATCTATTTAAAAATGAGTTAAAACATTATATATTCTAAAGACACATAATTACCTTCCATATGCATGTTCAAATCAAAATTTTTATTGCATTTGGTCAAAGGAATTGAGAGAAAAAAATTGGTATAATTTGATCTTTAAAAAAAAAGAATGCTAAAATAATCAAGAGAGACCTGGAGTTTCTGAATTTAAATATAAGTGATATTTCAGTTAGTATTGTAAAAGAAGTAATCACTACTGGTTTTATCTCCAGTGTCTCAAATAATTTTAGCACTGATTTTTTAAGTGGACCATACAGATATGAAATGCTGAAAGTCGTATATACATATGTATTTCATAGTGCTCTAAATTAAGTACTACTTGATATTATTTTAAGAAATTTAAGAAGTTTCTGAGAAGAATAAAATTAGCAATGTAGTCTTTGCTCATCTGTGAGATAATCAAACCCCTTTTCTCAAAAATTACGGTCTCTTTTCTTTGTTTCCACCCATAAGTACGATTTCAGACATATGCTACTTTCAATCCTACTGAGTTTCAACCCTAATTTAAGAGTTTTTAAATGGTTTAAAAGGAAAAAATAGAAATAGACAGGTTAATATATTTACTTCTTAGAGAAAACTGGAAAAAAAGTTAAGGCAATTTAGTAGGTTTCTGAGCAAATCACCCCTGGTATCATGACATCCATATGTTTAACATATGGATGTTTAACATGACATTCATATGTCTATTTGTTCAACTGCCAACGATTGATTTCTAGCAGTTGTAGTTGGTCAATCAAAATCAATTTGAACTTTTTCGTACCTTTCTATCCTCTTGTACTTATATTCTCTATAAAAATATATCAAGGAATTGCCTCCAGCTCCTATGTTGTCCCACTACATCATAATCGAACTTCTAACAGAGACCTTCAAGAATATTGAGTTAATTCTCTACTGGTCAGAGCATTCCAGGCAGATAATATGTTGCCTTATTGAGGGCATCTTCCTTCCCTAATCACTTGGTAATAGCCTTTAGCACTTCCTATCTCTTTTACACTTTATTTTTTCTCCTTAGCACTTATTACAACTTGATATACCACATTAGTTATCTCTATCTATATAGTTGTTGGCTTGTTTATTATCTATCTCCCTTTGCTAGGAAGAGAACTCCTAGTCAAGTTTTTTAATCTTGGCTATCATTTTAAAAACACTTATTTATATTCACTTTTATATTGTTCTAGTATCTCAAGTTCTTGGTATTGTTAAGAGTACTTAGTATGTAATGGAAACTAAAAATATGTATAAGTGAACAAGAGAAATAAATAATCTGATTTCTAAAACTTTTATTTATAAACTTATACAACCTTTAAGCATATATCCACTGTATAAATGGTGATACACCTTTAAATTATATGGGAAGGATGAAATGATCTTCACTATATAAAGCATTGCTTAGAATCTTCCTGAGTTCTATATTCTATTCTGTGTACTCAGTTTAAGAGACTTCAGAACCTTGAAATTGATCAAGAAAGAGTCAATAAGTATATGGTAAAAAAAATAAAAATAAAGTAAGAAATATTGTTAGGAAGTGGGATTATCTAACTAGGAGAGTAAGAATTCTTGGAGGCATTATGACCACCTGATTGAAAACTTGAGCAATGGAGCCGAACAGCCCGGGCATGGCAACACCATCTACTAGCTG